AACGTTACTGGTGCCTGCTCTAGGAAATGGACCAACAATGGGATTACATTGATACAGTGAATAAATTTTATTTTTGCGTAGGAAAGAAAATTATTTGCCAAAATAAATATTTAACTTACATTAAATTGTTACAGAACATTGATAGGTGCCTTCTACTTAAACCTTGGAGGTGTACCTGAGGGGCCAGCAGGCACTGGAAAAACTGAAACTACTAAGGACCTCTCTAAAACTCTTTGCTGTACAGTGTGCAGTGTTCAACTGTTCAAATGGATTAGATGATATAGCAGTGGGAAAGATAAAGTTGCAAAGCAAATGTAGCAAATCGAATTGAGAAAGTAGTATAGAAGCCAACTAAACTCAACAAACAAAAACAATAATACAGAAAACTCAGGTTGCAAAAAACAGCTTAGTAAATACTTAGACAAGGATTTAACAATCCCAACCCCATGAGCTATAGCAATTTTCACATAAAAATTGATTTTATACTTATTGATTTTAATATTGGGCTTTGCTATTTAATCAGTTTCAGTTCTAGAATTATATCAACAGTTGTGGCTTTAACCTTTGTTGAAAAATGAATCACAAAAAATTTAAACCTTGGTTTCAGAAGTAGAAACATAATTTTTAATCCATGGATTTAGTAACTAATTTTCAATTTAATAGAAGTTAAATCCATGTTATAGTGAACAAAATATTTCAAGTTTTCTTTCTTCTTTTTCACATAAATATTATATTTTAAAATAAAGCATGGATTTATGACTTAAATTTTTAATCACATTTGGGCAAGGAAAGTCCTAGACCCAGTAGGTAATGGTGAAGTTACTACACTGCTGGAGAGAATGCATGTTTCACATGCATTTTAAGCTCAAAGAGCTAAGCCTTGGAGACAGACAAACCTATATGGATCTATCATCTATCACTAGATTGGAGAACAGGAAGCAGATAAAGAAGAGAAACTTTTAAGTTCATGCAACCTACATCTTATCTGCTCACCTACATGACAGGTGATCACTGAAAACTGTGTTTACCTTTAGAAAACAGGTAGGCTTCCTAGTCATATAAAATAAAACACGTGTAGGTTTTGTGATCATATAAATAAAATTTACTTTTACTGTTAACAATTAGGCCAAGACATTGGTAACAGAACACTACTGTCTACTGATAAACAGCTAATACTTATACAGAAAAGACATTACACAAATAATATTTTTTCAAACATCAGGTATTTTCATAAGAGCAGTGAAGGCAGAAAAGTGGATGAAATGTGCTTTCCAGCTTAAACTACAAATTACATGTTGGCAATTGTACCAAATGAGCCTCACTATATCTCTGGTATCATCTGTTGCGCTATAAAATCCATTCAAATTTTTAGAGTACTAAAATCTTTACTTTGTCATCTCATTATAGATATCAACTCTATTTTTCCTCAGGCAGGTAGTCCTCCTGATATATGTGAATAACAATACTTTGGGAGGGGTGGTGGCAAGTTTGTTCTAAGGGATTTCTTTCTGAACAGCAGCCATTATTAGAGGAGAATCCTGTTTCCTGCAACAAACAATCATTTGTTGTTTCAGGAACAGGTACAAACACTGGAGGAGCAGTCAATCTGTCAGCACTTGATACCTTGTTCTCTCTTTGACTACATTTCTGAGTCTGTTTTGCTTCATCCATTAGGTTTATAAGAAGCTCAACTTTCGCTCTGAGGACTTTGAGTGTTGCTTGATCCATGAAATTGGACAGCTTAATTTTATTCTGTTGCTTAATTTTCTTTTATTCTCATAGCATTCCATAATCTCTATTTATTCTTTGGGTTTGCAAAAGATAACCTTTTTCAATGTTGAACTCTTCTTCTGTCTTGGTATCAATCCATTCTGCTTTTTTCATTGACTTCTTATTCAATAAAAGAGACCAATAAGCATTTAAATACAGAAAGTATATACCTAGTCATAGTGAATTTTGAGTTCCAATCTTTACAATCAACATATAGATAAAACACACTGCATGTAGTAATTATGGGTATAATGTGAATGTTAATTTTGGGGGAGGATGTGTTTGGACCACATGCAGTGGTGCTCAAAGTTACTTGGCTCTGAGCTTAGGGATCACTCCTGGCAAGCTTGAGAACCATATGAGGTGCTGAGAAAGAAGTCTGGGTCTGCTGTATGCAAGGCAAGTACCCTACCTATACCATTTCTATGGCTCTTAATAAATGTTATAAATATTTGGTAAGAAAAATACAAATAAAATAAATCCAGAGGTAAAGTTGAAGAAAATGTGGCCAACTAAGTAAATTTTAGATGATATTACATGTAGATGCACAAAAAGTATTTGATAGAGCTCAATTATGATAAAAACTGTCAAAATAAGATAATAGAAGGGTCACATATTACAAGCCTGCAGGTCTTATTATTTTCAATGGTGAATATCTGAAAGTCTTTCCTCTGAGATTTGGGCATTAGACAAATATGTCTATAGTCACAACATTATTGAACATAATATTTGAAGCTCTTACCATAGCAATTAGGCAAGAAAGAATTATTACACAGATTAAAATTGGAAATATATTTAATTATTACTATTTCAAGATGATATTATATCATGCTTGGGAGCATTTAAAGCCTTCACCATGAAGCTACGAGAAATAAATAAACCTACACGGTGAGGTATTAGGCTAAAAAATCAATATGCAAAAATCTGTTGCATTATTATATGAAATTAATGTGGGAGAAGAGAGATACATCATCTATGCATACAATATATATTCACAATTCACAATTGTTCTCAATTGAATCAAATAGCTGAGATGCAATGATGATGCTGAAACACAAACAGAGTAGACTATGAATCACTTATAAAAATAAGAAGACACAAGGAAATGGAAACAGATTTCTTCTTCATGGTTTGGAAGAAGTATAAGCATTAGAATAAACACTACCCAAACCACTATACTTATTCAGTATAGCCATTATAAAGAGTCCATGGTATTATTTTAGGGACATGTGTCAAACACTTATAAAGTATATATGGAATAATAAAATTTCCTAAATTGTCAAAGCAATCCAAGGAAAAAGGATGTGAGGCCCAGAATTTTCTAACTCTAAATTATACTATACATCTATAGCAATCAAAACTGTGGTATTGTGTGAGTTTCCAAAAGAAAGTGAGTGGACACACAGGACTTGAGAGTTTGGTGGCCAGAGCAGTTTCCTAGCTAGCCCAAGGCAATGGATAGATGAAAGATGGGGGAAAAGAGAATCAGGTCCTGGAACAGGATGGACTCAGGGCAAGCTGGTCGGTAATTTGTTTCTCTCTCCTCCCCAGTATGGTTTGACCTCTCCCTTTGCAGCACAATCATAGTTGTAGTTTTGTTTTAGTCCCAGTTATCTTTGCTCCATCATCCTAGTTTTCCTCTTAAACCTCAAAGTCCTCTACCCCTCTTACCCCTTATGGCATAGATCTATAGAAATCATGAAGGGTTCACATAGGTAGGGTTGAACACTGTTATAACAACAGAGGTAAAGTCACTCTTTCAGGAGAAAATCTAGGGAACTAACTCAAGGACGAAATCTCATCTGAGGCTTCAGCACTCCAGATTACTAGGAAATCCACTCAAGGGTGGGATTCCATCCACAGTGTATTGCTTTAGTCTTTCCTCTAATAGTAATCCATTTAAATAATCATAGAGAATTTACTTCTTATAATATTTCTAGTGATTTTGTAGGAACACAGTAAGAGATATATTGAGCTTAACACAGTAAGAGATATATTGAGAGTAAAGGTTGACTCTTCCTGGGCACATCTCAATATATATATATATATATATATATATATATATATATATATCAGAAACAGTCCTCAGACCAGGTTAGTCTTTCCTAACCCCAGCAGTGTCCTTATTCAGTTACTTCTTTTTTGGATAATGTCAGAGTTTGTCCCATGGCCGTGCTCTTAACTTATTATACTTGTGGTGCTTAGCTTGTCCCCTTTTGATGCCAGGGTAGCTTACAGCTTGCCCTGGGTCCATCCAGTTTCTTCTTTGGGACCCTCCTTTCAGGGGTGTTAGGAAGCAAGGACAATTGAAGCTTGAGTCAGGTGAATATGATGGATGCCCAGGAGTAAATATTATTTGGAGTCAATTAACTCCCAAGTTACAAAAGCATAGCATCAGCTGTCTTCCTGTGTCTATACAAAACCATGCAAATGACATAAAGGAAAGAGAAAATGCAATATAGGATTATTTGTGCTTTATGGAATTGGGTGGGCCTCCGGGGCACTGTTGTGAGAGTGGCTCAATAAACCTAAGCTTCCTGCGGGAGGTGCAAGGACAACCCAAAGTTACCTAACAGTAATGGAATAAAGACAAACACTAAAATCAACACATGTGGTGAGAATATAACCCTCATTCACTTCTGTAAATATCTGATAACTATGGGAAAAGACCTCTCAAAATATTGAAAGTAAAGGTGTCATGTGATCCACTATTTCTGCTCTATGTCATCAACCCCACAGGCATAAAAATATAGATTCAAAAGTATACTTGCATTTATATATATGTTGCAGTGCTAGTTACAATAAGAAAAAACATAAAAAACCCACATGTCCAATAAGGGAGGAGTAACTAAAGTGTAATGTGTATATACACACATAATATTCCATTATATATATACATATAAACATATGCATATATTCTAATGCACATATATATGTATGCAGGTATATAATGGGATATTATTATAAATGGGTCGAATAAATGATTATTTAATATATTTTTTCTCTTTATCACTTTACTCATATTTTGGGAAAAATTGTTTGAAACTCAAGACATACAAATTACTTTCTGTTAATTGGAAGTAGCACTGTAGTACTGTTCTCCTGTTGTACATCGATTTACTAGAGCAGGCCCAGTAACGTCTCCATTGTGAGACTTGTTACTGTGTTTGACATATCAAATACATCACGGGTAGCTTGCCAGGCTTTGCCATGCAGGCAAGATACTCTCGGTAGCTTGAACGATATTTGAACGATAATTTGAACGATACAGAGAAGATTAGCATGGCCCCTGTGCAAGGATGAAATGCAAAATTAGAACTAGTTAGCAAAAAATTCCATTTCCATCTTTAGCAAATAGTCAAAATAATAAGGGCAACTAAAAAGTTATTTTCTAATGATAGATTAGTCATTTGAGAGAAAACTTTTTGCTTATTCCAGAAAAACTGAGTAACAAGATAATAGTTTATAGCTAAGAAGATTGGCAAATTTTCCTACAAGGGAGAAAACTTTAGAGACTATATTGTCACTTTCAAACTTTTCTGTTCTTTTGTTGAACAAACGTAGTGAGTTATAGAGAATATATGATTAATAAGCATGTCTGAATCCCAATACAACTTTATATAAAGAACTGGTAGGCCATAGTTGGCTTATGTTTGCTAATCCGTGCTTTAGTTAGCTAGCTATTTTTGTAGTATCAGGAGCAGAACTCAGTTCTATAGCACATAAGACTTGAATATTGCTGCTAACACGTATCTCAGCACATAATTCCTGCTTTAATCTAAACCCATTACTTAATTGATATAAATTTGAAGTAAATGTTTTCAGTATAAGGAAAAGCATTCTGATTAGTTTAATAATTAGTGCTACACGAGGCAAAATTATTATAAACAGAATGACCATATGTACATAAGTGTGAAAGGATGTATGCATTTGTCTAAATGTATTCTGTATATGTAACTATTTTTGAAGAGGATCAAATAAGATAAAATATTTTAATTTTTAAATGTGTTGACAAGGATGTATTCAAATTTTAATACATTTAATACATACAAATTAAAATTTAATACAAGAATCTTAAAAAATCTTGTTTCCTGTATTCATTGAACACTTACTATATCCAAGAGTCTTATAAGTATTTTACCTATTGTAGTCATAAATTTATAAATTTATAAAATGAATCTCAAGTTCCCAGACTACTTAACATTTATGCTATCTAATTTTCTCCTTGAATACATGCTAGACTTAATCATTTTGTCTTCTAAATGATAATATCTGCAAAAATAGTGATATGCTACCACTTCCATTACTAGGTATAATAAAAGACTGTGACTTTCATCTGTCGAGTTCATTCTTTTTCTTGCCTTGATAAAATAAGTTGCATTTGGGAGTTTTGAATGACAAAGAGTCAAGGTCAGCCTCTAAGTAATAGCCAGAAAGATACTAAGGATTTCAGTCTAAAATCCCATGAAGAATTGAATCCTTCATCAACCATGTAAGTGAATTTGTCAGTAAAACCTGCTCCAGTTGAACCTTTATATAACTTTGTGAGACATAATAAAGCTGAGGACTAGTTAAGCCATGTTTAGATTCTTTACCTAAAATGTATGAGATAGTAAACTGTTTTAAAGCAGAAAAATTCACCGTTCATTAGCTGCAACAATAGATAACTAATCCTTCCATATTGAGGAAAAATACAACACATAATTGGTTACCGAGAAGTTATATCATTGTTCTAAATTTTCCCCTTCTACTCAGCCATTCGAAAAAACCTGTGGAATATTATGTTGATTTGTGACTTTGTAGGAATTTTTAACGAAAATTTTGTTTTATACACCTCAGTTGAATTAGGAATAGAAATTAAAATGTACCGCTGAAGGTTAAACTAAAGAAGAAATAAAGTATATTGTAAAATTATATTCAAGTAGGCACCATAACTGATATAATATGCCTTCAGATGTTGAATCAGTTCATTTTTTGTTAGTTGAATTTTTGCAGGTTATTCATTTTATGAATTATTTCTGAATGACACTGATCCCCCTTTGTAACATCCCTGAAAATTTTGCAGTACAAGCACAAAATTGTAACTTTTACCCCAATGTTAAATAAAAGTATATAGCCAATAGTTAACTATGTATACCAAATTTTATTGATGCAGTTTGTTGTAGACAATGCAAATTATTTAACTACCTTGGCCTGAAATACTTTTTATTTTTATTATAATATTAAATATGACATTGATGTCATAAAGAATAATAGTTTACCTCAAAAGTTGGAATGTGTTTGCTCTTGGGTACAATAGACCAGATCCACTGGAGTTTTACTGCAGGCAACTGAATCTACCTCTTCACAGTTCTACAATACTGAAACTTCCCTGGGGTGAAACAGCTTTATTACTCGAGTCTAGACTTTTGTCAAAATATGCACCAAAGAAAGAGTTGGAACAGAAAGCTCTCCCTAATTCATTTTAGCTAAATTTCTATTTTTCTATCTCCTCCTGGAAATCCACATATGTGGCCAACGTTGCCAGATATTCTTTTTTCAATTATCTCTGTATTGTGGAATGTAAGCCAATCTCACCAGAGAAATGAGCCTCAGTGAATTGTGTTTAGCTACTAATATATTTCCCATTTTTAACTCAGTGCACTTGTTTCTTTTTCAGTGATATTATGCTTACATTGTCAAAATCTCAGTATGTTTCATAAATATATTTAGAAGAAACTGATATGAATTTTTCTATGAAATTAGCATTACCACTTGGAATTGAACAAATACATAGAATCTTTGATCCACTAGGATGAAAAACAGACCAATTATATACTGCCCACCAAGCTCAAATCCTGAGTAACTTTCTTAAAAGAAGTGATTTCTCCAGTTAAAATATGATATTTGAAAATAACTCTAATGCCTGTTAAAATAATGGAGTTTGTGATTCTTAACAAAAGGCAAATAAATAAAGGACTGGTAGGGCCCTTAAGATGGTCATATTATTCAACATGTGAAAGGGAAAATTTATGAAGTGGGTAGGCTTAAAGCCAGGTCGTTCTGGATTTATGTCTACCTCATCTGCAAAATATCTCTGTGTGGCTGGACAATAACTTTAACTTTTATAATCTTGATTATGAAATTAAAATATATATGCAGAAAGAGTCAACTTCAGTATTGCTCCTAGAGTTGACTATAATAATGAGCGTAACACATACACATTGTACCATACAAAGTAGTAAATGGTATTGATTTTTCTCACTCTACTTCTCCATTAAGTATTACCTTCTGTATTCACAGATACCAGTGAAGTATTCTATTAATTACAGCCAATTGAGAAAATAATGGAAAAATCACTGTATATAAAAAAATTTTATATAGATGATGTAACATATCAGCACTACCATTAAGTGACAGCACAGAAATGATGCATTTCAAAGAAAATTATGAACTAGTCCTTACTTTCTCCTAGAATCCTGGCCCTATCCAAACACAAATATATTTATTCCCATAAAGGTGTAAGTATCAAACACATAAGTTTTCTTATTAACTGCACATTATACTGAAAGATTTTCTATTTTGTGGAAAGATTATTCTGAACCTTAAATTCTTGATATGGGGTAAAATATCATGCAAATATGATAATAGACATACATTTTTTAAAGTATAAGAATTAGAATATTCATCTTTCTTAAGTATGTCGTAGGGTATTATTTGAAAAGTTGATAGAAGGCTCTTGAAAAGATGTATTAGAGTGAGTAGAGAGACAAATAGAATATGGAGGAAATGAAACCTGTCTTAACTCTGTCTCTTAGAAATTGAAAAATCCTAAAGATATTGTAAGAAAAGTGCTAAGAGCACCTTATTATACATTCTTTCTCCACTGGACCATGTGATTGAACACTAAGACATATTCTTATAATATTATGAATGAACATGACCAAGTATATTTACATAAATGTATATGTCACTTAGAGTGGAAAATAAATGAAATTCCCTTTCCTATAATAGTTTTATCACAAAATATAACTTTTTAGTCTAGAGTGTTTATTGTACATATAACTAAAAACATAAATAATGAAGCTTATTAGAAAACTGATAGGGTACACACAGAAGTTTTGCCATCAAATGATTCTTTTGTAAATAGTTTGTATCTCTATTGTTCAGATTTGTTAGTTACAACAAAAATAGCCTAAGATAAAGGTACATTGAAGTTTGCATATGATGGTTTAGGAATCTTGGTCATGCATGGCATTAACCTATATTCTCTTTATCATTACCAAAGGCTAATGTTTATGTAAGATTCCTCATGTCCTTTTTGACAGTTCACATTTTCAAATAAATATACCATTAAATACAAATATTGTAAGTGAAATCTAGCTTAAAATTAGAAAAAAATAAATGTGTAATGAGAAAGAAAATAAACATATTAACTATAGGAACTATATGCATAGTCATAGTAAACTTTAATGACTTTTAGCCTTCAAAATCAACATATAGATAAAACACATTAATCTAGCATATTAAGGAATATAATAAAAATGTTATAAATATTTGACAAGAAAAATAGAAGTAAAATGTATTCAGAAGTGAAAGAGGAACAGAAATGAAGGAAATTATTAGTGGCCAATAAATAGATAAATAAAATATATTACAAAAATAATTAATTTTAGAAACACTGGATGTCTGCACTTGGACAGCTAGAGACACAATGACCTAGTTAGTTAGCACTAACTCATTTCTCATGGAGATAACAGAGTTTGAAGGATTAAACCTATTAGAGTAAAAACTTTTCACATCTCTGTATCATATTTACTACTGTAGAGATATAGGAGGAAATTCTCCCAGCTCATCTTTATTTTTCTGAAATTGGATATGAGTAAATTATAAAGATTAGTTGGCAAACAAAAATGCAAAGTACATGATCAAGTGACATGACTGAAAACTCTAGAAGAAAATGCATTTGACCAACTGCACATAGTCTCGTTCGAGAGGAGAAGTGGCAAATCACAGAATGAGAAATAGAAATCTTGACATAATAAGGAAAGGACATTACTCTGATATTAAGGCAAATTTTTCCTAGAGAGGATCATCCTGTCACTGTCCTCCCGTTTTTCATCAATTTGCTCGAGCGGGCCCAGTAAAGTCTCCATTGGAGACTTTGTTATTACTGTGTTTGGCATATCGAATACATCATAGGTAGCCAGGCTCTGCCATGTGGGCGAGATACTCTCGGTAGCTTGCCGAGCTCTCCAAGAGGGGTGGAGGAATTGAACTTGGGTCGGCCATGTTGGCTGTGTGCAAGGCAAATACCCTACCACTGTGCTATCACTCCAGCCCTAGAGAGGATATC